AGTGAAGGAGAAACGCGGGAGCGGCAAGTCCTGAGGTAACTGGGACTACACGAAACTTGGATCCGTGTTTAAATTGGGGTCCTTAGAACCAGGCCGGAGGATGGTTCCTGCACTGCCAGTGGTCTTAGTACCTCTGTCCCAAGACTTTAACCCCTATCCAGCATGGGCCTCTTGGGTGTGCCCCCGGGGCTCCCCCAATTGTTTAGGCAGTCTGTCCATCACCTAGCCCTTTACACAACCACACAGTTTTCTAGGGTGGTAGCGAGGCTGCGACCTAGTCAGGTCCCATACTCCTGAACACAACCACACAGTCTTGTATTGTGGGAGAGACGCTGTGACCTAACCTGGTCCCCTCCTCCTAAACACAACATTAGTACATGTATCATTTACAAGCCTCATCTGACCCTCTAAGGCAGGGACAGAATAAAACAACACACCCTATAGCGGATTTATGACATCTCACTCCTTCTCAAATGGTGATAGTCAAGTTATAATTAAAAGACATGCATAGAAAACCTACCTGGGCCCCCCATATTATATTCCATCACAATTGTTTTTCCCCTAAAATCTGTTCAACAACACACCCCCACACCCACCCAAAACCCCACCCACCCGTTAATTGGCAGTTTCCTTTTGGCACAAAAAATTTTTTTAACAAAAATTCCCCCCCCCCCCCCCTTTCCATTCCCCTTTTGGTTTTTTTTTTTTTTTCACCTTTTCAAGCCAAACAAAACGGTGGAAAACCCAGGGTCCCAGCGGGGGGGGGGGGGGGGGGGGGGGGGGTGGAATGCCTCAGCGGCTTACACAGGCTTTGGTCGGCCTTGTGTTGGACGGCTCCTCGCTCTCTGCCGGCTGGGTGCACTGTGGTGGTCCCTTACCGTTTGGGGATAAGGGGGGATGGGTGGCTGAGGTCTATTAGAGAGGCCCGCCCGGGTCCCGGTTGACAGAAAGTGAGTTGGGGGGGGGGGGATCCGAGAGCTACGAGGGGAGAGAAAATCTGCGTTCTTTCGACGATTGCATGAGCCCTGATTATTTAGCTCTGTTGCCCCGAAGGAGGTTACTCAACCAACGAGGACACGCACCTGTTTGCCTGTTTGTAACGTGGATGTTTTCTCACATTCCTTTCAGTCACTTTTATTTGAAGTGCTTTCTGAGGCAAAATGATCAGCGCCCTGATTTTGCATTTACAGTGGAACAGGACCGGAAGAATCTCAAGCCAGGTCGCCACAGTCCAAACCCCCAAGCTGTTAACGCCTGTCTGTCATTGCGCACAGACTTCACACACCATCTGCAAGTGTGTAAAGCGCACTTGCAGACTAGACCGGCAGAGGCAGGGGGGGCAGAATCCTCCGTGTTTTTACACGTACTCGTCTGCACGACTTTACTCTTGCAGGTGTTCACTGAAGCTAACGGCTGCGAGTTGTGTATTCGTGTTAAAGAAGAAGAACTTAGTTTATTAGCGTAATTATTCAAATCCACTGAAGCCGATCTCACGCGTTTCTGTTCTCAGGTGTCATCTGGAGGGAGCGCATTGAACATGTTGTAGTGCAGCGGCCGTATGGCCAGTTTGAATGACAGCAGTTGCCTTTCTCATCCGGACTGAACTATCAATTGAAGTAACAACGTGTGTACAGTCTGTGAGGGGACACAGGGAGACGCAAGAAGCGTCCTCCTTTGTATACGAGGAGACAGTCAGCCCGAGTTCCTGATTCTAAGCCAGTAATGAACTTTGTTCCTCTCGTTATCACAACTCTAGAGTTTCCTTATCATGGTGCCACGTACCCAGACAGACGGCGTCTTGTCCTGCATTCTTTCAGTGAACAGGACCCTCCGATATCTCAGCCAATGAGACGGGGATTTGGTTACACGCAATGGGAAATGGGCCTGCCATGCTTTGCTTATCAAAGCAGTGTTAGCACTTCTTAGCAAAGGTTGGTTAGAGGGTACGCTCCTTATTTTCTATGTCAAAGTGGGTCTACTCTACCGTAGGAAATATGTCATGTCATTCTGTCTTTACGCGCCGAGCCTAACAGAACAACTGGCACAGCGAATGGTCTTAACTTTTTTCTGTTGATAGAATTTCAATTTTTCAGAGCAGAGAGCCCATGTGGAAGATAGTGTACCTGCACCCATCAGATCATCAGATGATGTTTAAAAGAAATACCCCCAAATAAAAGATAGATTTGGCTGACATGAAGGTGTGCACATCAGTTGGACGTTCTCTCATACTGTACATTTCAGTTAAAGGGTTCTCTCATACTGTACATTTCAGTTAAAGGGTTCTCTCATACTGTACATTTCCTGTCTATTTTTGTCTGTATCCCGACCGCTCCTTCCTTCTCCAATTTCTCTTTGGACAGCTGGAGGAGTTGGACGCCTCACTTGAGGGTAAACAATAGCTGAATTAGGATTTCTTTCAAGAATATAGCTTGAGGTCTAAACAGAGGATTAGGAAGGAACCGTTGAGCGCCGCTCCCAGCTGGGCCTCCGCTGCCGCTGCAGTCTGTGTTTGTCTTCGGGCCTGAAGCAGCTGTGGTCATTTTTGTTTGCGTCTGTTCACTTACAGTACTGCAAACACGGGATGTGCGTGAACAAGGAGTTCGACCTGCAGCCGGTCCACGGGGAGTGGGGTCCCTGGGGGCCTTACAGCGTTTGCTCCAGGTCCTGTGGTGGAGGAACCCGCAGCACCGCCAGAGACTGCAACAAGCCTATGTAAGAAAGGATCGGGCTTTTTATGACAATCCAAGCCATCATAGATTGTTAATATGTGTCCGATTCTGGACCAGGAAGAGAAACCGTAAAAGAGAGAGAGGTCTTGTCTAACTAAGAGTTGTAAACCTGCATGTCAACTACGACCGTCACAGAGAACTTTCTTTCTTAAATGAGAATTTAAATGTTCCCTGTGTGGGTTCTAAGTGTGAAATAAGTGCAGTGCTCCCGTGATCAGTCTCGCCTTGCTCCAGGCCCAGAAACGGTGGGAAGTTCTGCGTCGGTCGCAGGATGAAGTTCCGCTCTTGCAACACTGAGCCGTGTCCGCGAGGACAGAAGGACTTCCGCGAAGAGCAGTGCTCTCACTTCGACGGCAAGCACTTCAACATCAACGGTCTGCCTCCCACCGTCCGCTGGGTGCCCAAGTACAGCGGCAGTGAGTACACCGACGTGCAACATTAAAGGCAGATACTATTTACAGCGGCCTGTTTGGTGCATTTAACTAAAAGGTTGCACGCCGCACTGTGTGTGTGTGTGTGGGGGGGGGAGGCCAATGCATGAGAAATCTATGTAGCTACTGCTTTGAAACATAAGCTTCAATACAGGAGAAGGAGACGGAAAAAGTGGACGTTAGAGTGCATCTTTGGGTGTGTGCGTTCTTCGTCTTAGTCCTTCCATATGAGCGTTACCCTCCCCCGACAGAATCCCATTATTTTCCACGATGGCTTGCTCAGCTACAAGAGATTACCATCTGGCAAAGACCACCATGTCTAAATGACTGCATGGGACTCATTTATTGATTGATTGATGCTACACAAGCAAACAGGCCAAGCCCCCAGAGCCGGTGAGCTGTCACACACGGTGATTCTCCCAAACAATGGCTACGAGTTTGGCAATTATAGCAAATGTCATATGAAAACAATGTAGGATCAAAAATGTTGATTCAGCAACACGTGTAAGTAATCTTGAGGTATTTCATCTCATTATGGTCCGGGATTTGTATCCTACTAATATCATTAGCTATAGTCCAACTTTTTCCACAGTTTGTCTTCTCTCTCCATGCAGTACTGATGAAGGATCGCTGTAAGCTCTTCTGCCGGGTCGCTGGCACCATGGCGTACTATCAGCTGAAGGACCGCGTCACCGACGGCACGCCATGTGGAACAGATACTTATGACATCTGTGTTCAAGGCCTCTGCAGGGTATAATCAACCTACGTACACACACACAAACACACGCTGTTCCTCTGCACTTTGTTCTCATGCTGTCACGAAATGTTCACATGTTCACGTCATCACGATTTAAAGGTCGCTTTATGTAAAATCACAAATCATCTCACCTTCCTCTGTGCTTCTGCAGCAAGCCGGCTGCGATCACGTTCTCAACTCCAAGGCCAGGAACGACAAGTGCGGCGTGTGCGGCGGGGACAACTCGTCGTGCAAAACCCTCTCGGGGACCTTCAACGATGCTCAGTACGGTGAGTCACGCAGCTCGGATTACGAGGGCGGTAAACTAACAGCTGACCTTCTCCATTAAACACACTGTATGTCAGCAGCTTCTGGAGAGCGACTCTCCGATACGCAGGAAACACAGAGGGGCTGGGAAAGACTTTCGCACGTCAGGGTTCTGATGTCATCTCTGCTTATGTTTAAACACATTAAGCTTGATTTTCAGAAACGATTCGAGCTCCTGCCAGAATCGGAAGAACTGCAGACACACAAATGTTCCGCAAGGCTTTTGAAAACTGATTAACGCGGCGCTGTCACCCTCCCAGCTCTTCCGACGCAACCCTGACAACACCCCTTTGATTTGACCTGCATAATGCGGGGGCCTCTGTGAGGGCCAACGGCTTGATTGCATCCAAAGCTTTTTCAGGTCTGGGCAGCGAAACAACTTTTGCATTAGCATAAAGGCCCTGGGTGTGGCATCCATCATGTGTACTCCGCATTAGTTTGGCACCGGGCTGGAGCGTCTCTATCCATCTGCTTTCTGTCTGCACTCTGTTATCCGTTGGGGGAACCGGCTTTGAGGATTGGATTGAAGCGAACCCGGCACTGGGCTCGGCCCTGTTCATTTGGCTCGACCTTAAGAAAGAGAACTGGAGCCCAGGCAGCATATTCCTCTGCTCCTGGGTCGAGGCTCGTCTTTCTGTCTTTCACCCTTTGGTCCTCGTCTTGCTTAATGTCTTTTTCTTTGTCTCTCTATTCACTTCAAACCACAGCGTTATTTGTGGATTCTAAATCAAGTCACATCTTCATGAGTAAAGTTTGTGGACGTTGACCTTTGAATTGACACCGACTTTGTACATTTTGTTCATTTGGTCTTTGCCGTCCTGTCCTTTCCCCACTATAATACACATAAATACTGGTTGCAAAATAATAAATGCAAAGCAAGCAGATGTTTGTCATCAATCCAGTCAATATTGTCGGACAACTTGGTCTAAGCCCCCCACCGCAGGCCCTTAACACATGATCTCTCTGGCTAGTGACAGAGGGCAGCATATTTGAGGTGAAGCTCAGCATGGTTGTGCTTTGTGTTCTGTGGCAGAGGATTGTGCGTCCGGTCGCTCGTGAAGCTGTGGCATCTCAGAGGCCTCGCGTGTCTCGTGTTTCCTCGAGGAGCGGCGCGTGTTTCTGAAGTTTATACATCGTTCATTTCTTTTTTTTAATGAGCGTATCCTGTCCCCAGTGTTTGACATGACACGCAAAACAGTGAGCTGCGTGAGCTACAGCGTGGCCTCAAATGGAAACGTTTCTCAGGCATGGTTTACGTGACGAGTGAGTGTGCGGTGACTGCGTCAGTATGTGTGTGTGAGAGAAGATTTACACGGCTGATGAGAGGTAGATATGTAAACCAAGTGCTGCCCCCGAGTGGCTCAAGGTGTCAGGCTAACTATCATATCACACCAACCGACGGCGTTTCTCTCCTCCATCCAGTTTGGTCTCTTCTTTAAAGGCAGCAGTAAGCAGTTAGACGGACAAATTCAGATATACAGTATATATATATATTTTATATTAAGAGAACCAAGCAGAAAATGACTGTCTTCAACTCTATCTAACGTGTGTTATGTCATCTCATATTTTATTATCATTTTATCATTTTTACCACGGATATAAGAAACAGCTGCTCATAATGAGTACGGTACATTATGCATGAAACTTTCTCCCCCTGTAATCCATACTATAATATTTTTTCTAATCATTAAATAGTTTTTGAAAAGTAAACATTTCCATTAAGTTGTGTCTCATCTGCCAGCTGCATACATTTTAACCTTAAAAAGTTACATTTTTTATTTAGTTTGAAGTTATTATATTGAGCAGAATGTATATGACCTACTCGACGGACGAGAAGAACTGGTATCCTTGGAATTGGGATACGTGCACTTACTTTGAACCCAAATGTATTTTTTCCTTGCGAAATCGTTGTTTTCTAAATGAAAAAGGCTGAATTTTCCCAATGTTGAATGATGTTAAAAATCGAAAAAAGATTACATACCGTATTTCATACTCAGCCCCCGGTTCACGCTCAACATTTGCATTTTTATTTTCATGCCACGGCTTTCAAATACTGTCCCTGTACGTTGCGTATGGCCAGTGTAGTAATTACAGGCCAAAGGTAAGTCCGGGGAATGATTACATATCCTTCCACCTTCGGGCCCCTCAGACTAAAACGAGTTATTCGAGAGGAGTAGAACTTTCTTGTGTGTTTTTCCAAGTGTGACATTTAAATCCCTGGTGACTGAGTTTTGCTGTAGCATAGTGAAGCTGTTATGGATATCAATGGGAGGGGGGGGGGGGGGGTGGGGGACCACTCGCTGCTCTTATTGTGTCTACTCGGTTCCCTTTTGAAGCTCAATACAATTTGTTTAACTTCTCTTCTTTTCCTCTTTAGGTTACAACACAGTGGTGCGGATCCCAGCCGGAGCCACCAACATCGACATCAAACAGGTCAGCTACTCTGGGAAGCCGGAGGACGACAACTACCTCGGTGAGTGTGGCTGTTTGTGTGTCTGTGTCAGCGTAACAGCGCGCTTTTAAGCTTCAACGCTAGCGAATTCCAGGTTTTTCTTGGGAGAATTGATCCACAGTGGAAGAAGTTGGGTTCTCATCTCATAGGTCAATGCCCTTATCCGCCGGCATGACCATGAACCCCCCCCCCAGACCGAGTGACCCGGAGCTGTAGATGCAGGCTGTTAGTGAAGGAGGGCAAAACTGTTTTCATAAGGCAAAGAAAACTGTCATTTGTTCCGAGTGTATATGGTGGAAAGGAGGAGCGGCGTTGGTCCATCTGGTCATGGCGAAGCGTGTTGGTTGGGAAAGCAAATGGAGTGTCAGCCCCCGAGAAAGATAAATGAGGCAGCAATAGGTGCTAATTAGAGGCATGTGGAGCCCAGGCCGCATGAAAGTGGATATAGGGGTGTAGGGTCAGATGGACCCAACGGCTCAGAGCGTGTGTGTGTGTGTGTGTGTGTGTGTGTGTGTGTGCTTGCACGTGAAAGAGGGAGGCAGACAGAGAGGGGGAAAAAAAACAGAGAAAGGGAGTTTTGCCAATGTTGTCGGGGTGGGCGCCCATTTTCTCATGGTTCAAGTCAGGTTCAAGATGTTTCAAGTCAAATTGTCAGAAAACACATCTGGCAGGAACTCGTTGCCATGCCGCTGTGAAAAGCTTCACTCGCTCTGCTGCCGAGTGCCACAAGCACACGATGCGCGAGTGGTTCCTGTGCTGCACGTGGTCTGTATCCTCCTCAGGCGGGCGCGTGCAGTAAGAAGACACGTTTTTTGAGAAGACCACCGCACTCATGATTTAAAAAAGCGAGATTGTGAAGCTCCTTGACTGTGGATCTCTCTCCTGTTGAAACTGTGGACACTTTTGGGAAGCCACTCAATGCTCAGCTGTTTGATTTCCCTCTGATATTCATCTCTATAACGTTTTATATAATAAATCTTGTCTTTTGTTTCTACTAAAGTCTCCTTTAGTAGAAACCTACTTGGTGCAAGAAGACTCGCGTTGGGTGTAAAGCACAGTATTACAAGACAAAATGAAAGCAGCGATGGACGGGTCCTCGCTACGCTGCATGTCGGGGGGGCTGGCTGGAGTCAGTCATCGTTAACCAAAAGGATGGGATGGGGGATGCCGCTTTGCAGACTTCATCTTTAACATTATGAAGGTCTTAGGGCTTTTCTGACAGCATTTGAGAGGGATCTGAGCAGGGAATAGAACAAAAAACATGTAACTTCCTGTTGCCACCAGGTGGCGCTATGACTAAGGTTGAAAATGATCATATGGATGTCTACAGGATAGGGAGGTCAAGCTGTGTGAGAAATATGGAGCAGAAGTATGGTCGAGTTAAAACAACTTCAATATTCATGGTGAATGGTGGGTTTTTTTTTTTAAATATGCACGCGCATAGTTTAATATTTCTTCTGGCAAAATGCAATTTTTAGAGCCCAAGGTAAAAAAAATGTCCGACTGTGGTCCTAAAGGGGGCGCTATAGAGACCTTTCTTTATACCCAAATGCGAGACCCCCAACATATTTTTCACCAATCCGGATACGCAGGGCAAATTTAACAACTTTTAGCCGATTGGATGATAGAGCCCCCAAAATGGCGAGATTCCTTAGAGAAAATAATAATAATCACAATAAATCCTTGAAATACAATAGGTTCCTCTACGACTAGTCGCAGCGAGGATTAACCAAAAAGTCTGTGATGACAACCAAAGTCTTTAGATCATTTCCAAACCCCACCGACCCCACAGTGGTCTCATGGAAAATGAAAAGCTGGCATCCAACAATTTGCGTTTAATCGCATACATTGTTTCAGCATGCTCGTTCAGAGAGGTTCAGATGTTCAAGAGAGAGTCAGTGTTCATTCAGGATTCATGTGGTAGTTTGCCAACGTAGAGTGTGTATTTGTATGTACTAGGTATTTGCAGTCAGTGTGTTGTTTGCCTCACAATGTCACTCATTAAGAGTACTTAAGTAAAGTAACTCCAAATAACTGCAATTTAGTGCCGCCAAGGTTTCAACGTACCTCGCCTGAAACACTGGCTTTGCAAAACAATAGTCTAGTAGCTCAAGGGCAGTTTACTTCGTTCATACGCTGAAATAATAAGTGCCACATCTCATAAACATTCCCCAATCTGCCAAAAAGCAAACATTCCTTCGTTTACATCGAGAGCTCTGCGTTTTTTATGGTTTGTGTCCATTTCTTCTTGCAGCGTTATCTGACAACCAGTCCAACTCGGTCCTGAATGGGAACTTTGTGGTGGCCATGTTCAAAAGGGAAATCACCTTCAAAGGAACCGTCATTGACTACAGCGGCTCGGACACACCAGTGGAGCGCATAAACTGCACGGACCGCATCCAGGACGAGCTCGTGCTGCAGGTTTTTTAACAGCCAAATCCTGTATTTCTCCTCCCACTTCATCTCTACACCTCTGCCTGATAACAGTTTACTGTCTTCTAACCTCCCAAAATACTAAGCTGGGGCTCGGCCTAGAAGCGTCATATCTCTTTGTCGACTTAGACAAAATAAGGACTGCCGTGTTAAGTCTTTTGACCTTGCCTTTCCCACCATTGTTCCTGCAGGTCTTGTGTGTGGGAAACCTCCACAACCCAGATGTCCGTTACTCCTTCAACATACCCATCGAGGAGCACGGGGAGCAGTTTGTGTGGGAGCCCTCAGGCTCCTGGCTCGATTGCAACCGCATCTGTCAGGGTAAAGGAATAAGATTGCTTGTCTTTGGCCCTAGTGGATCTTAATAAAGGTTAATAATTGCACAAAGATGCTCCGTTAGACACTTGAGTGCTTATTCTATGTACTTCTAGGCCCAACGTTACTTGACAATTTGGAAACGGCAGTACAATATGTCTCTGATACAATGTTACACACACTCATGATGTAAACAAAAGATGGATTTTCATTCATTCTTCCATAAATCCCATAAAACTCCCCCTTCGCCCGGCCCTTAACCCGACTAAGCCCCTCACATATCTCCCTTAAAAGCAAGCCGGTCAGGCTCCCAGCGTGTCAGTGGGAGCAGTGGGATCCAGTAAGGAGATGTATTTGTAAAGCTGATGCAACATGGTATCGGACTGCAACCCTGCGTGTGTGCAGGTGAGCGAAGACGAACGGCTGTATGTGTGCGTAGGAGCGATCACCTCGAGGTGTCTGACCAACGCTGTGAACATCTACCTCGTCCCGTTGCTGTTGCCGAGCCCTGCAACCCGGACTGTGAAGTCAGGTGCGCATTAATGCACAAAAAAAAAAAAAACGCACACGAAACAACTCCCTGTTCACAACCTGTTCCCTGCACCTCCTCCGGCGCAGGTGGCACGTCGCCGGGAAGAGCGAATGTTCTGCCAAGTGTGGCCCCGGTTACCGCAGCTTGGACGTTCAGTGCATGAAGTACAGCCTGAGGAAGAGACAGAGCGACCGGGTGGAGGCCAGCACCTGCGGAGACGCCGCCAAGCCTCAGACCAGGGAGCCGTGCCATGGGGACTGTCTGCTCACGAGCTGGCAGTACAGCGCCTGGTCACAGGTACACGCAGGGGAAGAGTCGTCGCTAATACGCCGGCCCGTGCAGAGCGGTGGCAAATCGGCAACATCTGCTAGACCAACGCATGATTAAGTGGGCTGAGCTTGTGTTCTCGTACACAGTGCTCTAAGACCTGCGGACGCGGGAGCCGTAGCCGCGAGTCTTACTGTATGAACAACCGGGGCAGGCGGCTGGTGGACCGAGAGTGCGGCGAATACCAGAGGCTGGTCACTGAAACCTGCAGTGAGCAGCCGTGCCCCGAGTGGACGGAGAGCGAGTGGAGCGAGGTGGGGAACTCACGACAAAACGTCCGGCACGGATCGGCGGCAATATTCTGTATCGTACAGCGTACAATGATCCCTTTTATATCACCGATTTAAAGGTTGTTAAAGGTATTTTAGGTAGATTAACAAACCTCATATGTCCTCATAAAAGTGGAATGTCCCGCACTAATGCGTGCTGTGATATTAATGACTCCTCCTCTACCTTTTTCCACCGTCATCCGATGCCCCGCAGTGCCCGGTGACTTGTGGGAAGGGGACGAGACACAGACAAGTGTCCTGCAGCATAGGAGCCGGGCAGGAAGAGCTAGGCGAGCACCTCTGCGACCCATCCAGCAAGCCTGCTTCTGTGGGCGGCTGCGAGCTGCCCGACTGTGCGTCCTGGCAGGTCGGCGTCTGGGGAGGGGTGAGTCCCGCCGACACACACACACACACACACACACACAGGGATCAGATGTCCACACACTGGGGCGAAGAGGCTTGATGCAGAGTGCCTGAGGAGAGGGGCCTCACGGGCAGCTGTCTCCGATCCTGACTCGAATCCGTTACTCTGAATGTGTGTGTGTGTGTGTGTGTGCTGCCACGGAGAGAAAATATGTTACCTATCATTGACGGTGTATATTTCAAGTACGTGTGTGTGTGTGTGTGTGTGTGTGTGTGTAACCTTATACATCGGCAAGTTACGAAGGAACGTGCTCTGACTCCAGCTTCCATGGCGCTTTCGTTTTTCCCCTCACGTCCTAAAGACTAAATCTGACACACAATGCGCACACACACACACACACACACACACACACACACACACACACACCTTCCTATGCATTCAATCAAAGTTTCCAAATATGTCTGTATGGAATCACCTCTGTTAGGGTAAAGAACAAATTGAGTAAAACGTGTATGAATGGCCACGTCTAGTCTAGTTGATAGACGTCTTATACGTCTAATGCCCCCCCCCCCCCCTTCCCCCCTCCCTGTTTGTATGAAGGCAGATGGGGATATTTACAGAGCTGGAATATATCAGGTTGTTAATGCCTGTGTAATTATAATGTGCTGCTCAAATAAACCCACCGTGTGGCACTTCCTCTGCTCCCATGTTGTACCTGGATGTGAGTGAGTGAGTTAAAGGGTCGATTGCGAGGACGTGTACGGGGACGGATGTGCCCATTAATGCATATGAGTGTGTGTGTGTGTGTGTGTGTGTGTGTGTGTGCGCATGTCTTACCAAGACTATGCTGACCTGAATGAGGCCCTGCCTAGGAAATGAACCCTGACATAGCTTTATATGTGTGTGTGTGTGTCTTTCAGTGTGCAGTGACCTGCGGCCATGGCTACCAGATGAGAGCGGTTAGGTGCGTGTCGGGGGAATACGGGGCCACAGTAGACGATAGAGAGTGCAATGCTGCAGCGCGGCCCAGAGACACGCAGGTAAAACAAACTGTTGCTCACGACTCAAACAATTAAAGTGTCACTTTTCTTTGTCATTTTGTCTGCAGGCAAAGACATTAAAGATATTGAACTGAAGAGCCCACATGCTCCAGATAGCTCTACAAACTGAGAAATGAAACTTTCTCTTTGTTTTTATTCTTTAACTGGAGATATCCAGGGAAGGAATGAAATATTTCTTTATTGTGTATTTACTCCCTTTAGTTAAAATGTAGCGACGCATCATCTGACTGTATTTGCGTGTTTTTTGTTGTAGGACTGCGAGACGCAGCCGTGTCCCTGGGCCTCTCCGGTTCACAGCACAACTCGCCCTGATAACTTTGCTCGGATCCTGACCCAGTGGAGATACGGCTCCTGGACTGCGGTAGGGAAACAAATTGGTTTTATTCGGGCCTAACAGAGTCTGTGGCAAAGACATTCCTGTTCTGTCTTGTTCTTTCTGCGTGTAGCTTGAGAGAAATGGTCCACTGGGCTTTGGAATCCGACTTTAACACTCGAAGAGGGAAAAATGAGAATACCAGAAAACGTTTGTTCTTATGTCTGTGTGTGCGTAATTTAAGGAAAACACACTCCAATAGCGTTGCCTCTGCTACATGCACCAGATTGACAAGTTCAACTTTTTCTTTCTGATAGCACCTACTGTACAGGACCATGATCCTCTTTGGCATTGTCTCCTCTACCCCCCTGCTGTATCTGCACACACACACACACACATACACCTACACACACAGGCTCCACTGTCTGGGCTGAGAGGCCCCTCTGTCTCTCTGATACTTTGCATTGTTACCCGTCGCAGATGAAAACCAGATTTCATGTAAACACGAGTCTTCGGTTTCTGAGACTGAACCTCGTCTGTCAATCCGTAAGTCGGCGTGAGCTCACATGTCAAAGAGGCCAGCGCCAGTGTGGTCTCGCAGACACACGTGCACACACAGATCGCACACATTCCACGTGCGCGCACACACACACATCCATGCAATTCCCCCCCGAGCAGCGGAACAGCGATCCTCTAGATTGATATGAGAGGGGTACAAACATGCCTGCTGGAGCCATTTGATTGCATTCGGTATTCACCCCCTCACAGATGTTTTCTGTGATGTCCCCAATGGGATCAGGGAGTCCCATAAATGTCTTTATTTGTGACACAAGGTAAAGAATCCCCCAAAATGAGGGGTTATCTGTTCCAGAGTAAGACAAGCCAGGTACTTAATGCAACGTGAACACTGATGTTTGTAGAGGCTTCATGTGGCTCACTGACCATCAACCTACTGTGTAATCCAGAGGAACAAACCACCGTAACAGGACGTGTTCTCTTTGGTTTACTCATCCTCATTGACTATATTACATTATGCATTATGGTGGGAAATACTTTCACCCACAAAAAGTTATTCAAGGTTTACTCACTACCGCAAACAGAGGAATCGAAGCATTGGGATATATTTATTATTCATTAAAAAAACTAAATGTGGGTCATTATCTGTCTACCACAGGTACAGTAGAACCAAGGATATCTGATATGTATTGTACACAATACGTATATACTCTCGTATTACCAATGTGGGTTGCCGTTTGTAAAAAAAAAAAAACTCAACTCAACTCTTCGTCTCCGTCGAACACTAAAAGTAGACGTTAAATTAATTTAGGAACCGCATAGTAGAGAAACACAAGACAAGTATTGATGTGGGCTCCGTGTGATCTCCGTGTCCTGCAGTGCTCCGTGTCCTGTGGAAAAGGGAAGCGGGAGCGTTACGTCAGCTGCCGAGATGCCCGGGGAGGAGTCGCTGACGAGTCGCACTGCACCCACCTGCCCCGGCCCCCGGAGTCCTCGGCCTGCTTCAGCCCCTGCGGCCAATGGCGTGCCGGGGAGTGGTCTCCTGTAAGTTAAAAAAAACAGTGTGTCCAATCAATGCAGATGTTTTCCACTCCGGAGACGTTCAATGGTCAAAAGTGACCAGGTCAAGATTTGATTCGTGAACGTGTCACTCCAGTTACGTTGTCATCGAACATCAGTACACACCGTAATCGGTACCACCGTGGTTCTCCGTTGTCCCCCCAGTGCTCGGTGACTTGTGGCGTTGGAAGGACCACGAGGCAGGTGGTCTGCTCTAACTACCACCAGCCCGTGGACCGGTCCTTCTGTGACCCGGAGGAGCAGACCGTGACGGAGCAAGAGTGCACGGCCGCACCCTGCCCCTCCGTCCACCACCGTCAGCGCATCAATGACCAGCCCTACGGGTACCCGCAGGACCCCGGACGCCATCCTGGCCACAGCAGCTGGAATGTGCCTTCGGCAGACAACCAGTGGAGGACGGGACCCTGGGGCGCAGTACGTCCGGCACATGGTCTTTAGGGAAAAGGGACAATCATTTGGGCGGTAGAATTCGTTGTTCGAAATCTTTAACGGATAAATATTCTTTATCGTCACACGCGATTTAGGTTTCATGAGACGGAGAAGTGAATGTGAATGAAAGACATTCACGTATGTACCAGGTGGTGTCCCGAAGCAGACTGGTTTTGAAATGAAATTCCAAATTGTAGTGCATGAGTCAAGGTAGTTTTTACTAGAAATCACTTGTTAATCCATTTTAGTTGGTTAAATCTCTTTCACAATGATATGTAATTCCCTTTTTCAGCCGGATTTTGTGCCTGATCCTGTTAAAAAATGAGCAAAGCGTGTTGTATCCAAGAGAAAATCTGCTCCATGTTAGAGGATAGTTGATAAAAAGTTGCACTTAATATTGGTTTAATATTAACATTTTTTGTTTTAGCTATTAGATGTCTAGTACATCCATGAAACTACCTGAACATTTTACTCTTAAAAAGTTCAGAGATAGATTTGACATTTTCTGACAGCCATAAAAAAATGATGCAGTGTTCTCTACGCGCAGAGCAGCAGAGGCTTTCGTCCCAGTGACCTGTTTAGTCTCACGTGATGAACTTGACTTGAAGTCATGCTGTTCAGGCTCACTCTGCGCTGTCCTCCCCCACACGCGGCAGAGAGCATTGAATGTGCTCCCATGTGTCATCTTTATTGGATGCAGGCCGAGGTTTTCCATCTTTTCAACAGTTCAATTTTGATCTTTGCTACTTAAATCGGCATATTTGTGAAATGTGAAATCCTTGACCTGGCTGTATTATGTTGGATGAAAGATGAGTTCTTTATTAGGGATGGATTGTTTCCAAATGAATTGTCTTTTTGTGTTATTTTACACATCCATGTTGACCAGAAACACACAAATTATGACCAGTATTCAGTAAAAGAAGCTTGAGTGTAAACGTTTTAACACGGATAAGAAATAATAATTGACACTGGACTCATGATAGGCCTTTAATGCATTGGGTGTGTGCCGTACCTCTCTGTGTGCATGTGTCCCCCCCCCCCCACTGATCTGTCTGTGTGCTCTGCAGTGTTCCAGTACCTGTGCGGGAGGTTTCCAGAGGCGAGTGGTGGTGTGTCAGGATGCCGATGGACGCAGCAACAGCTACTGCGATGAGAGGGTCAAACCTGACGAGTCCAAAGGTTGCGACTCGGGACCTTGTCCCGTGTGGAACTTCGGTGTCTGGGGAGAGGTGAGCTTGTATTTCTGGACAGTCTGAGACACGTCGTAGTCTTCCACTCACTCATTGTGAACGCGACACAGGTTTTGAGTTTCATCCTCATCTTCTGTTCGGTCTCCTCTGTCTTTTGTTTTAAAGTCTGAACTGAAACAGGAAACATCATCATATTGTTATTGTATTATATAATAAATGCATCTTTTTGCTTTGCCACCTCTCAGTGCACGCAGACCTGCGGTGGCGGAAGGAGGACTCGCCTGGTGGTTTGTCAGAGGCCCAACGGTCAGATGCTAAACAACTACAACTGCGACATCCTGGACAAGCCGCCCGACATGGAGCAATGCAACCTGCAGCCCTGCCCAGGCTCCGCCTCCTGGCTGCGCCGACCATGGAAGCCGGTACGATAGTCCTAACCTCGTTTTCCTCTCTGGGGGGCGTCACTGTGAGTAGATTTGGTGTGTGCTGAGAATGACGTCAGTCACGTGTGATCCAAGTGTGTTTTTAGCCTAAAGAGTATCGAGAGGCACTGGTGGTGAACCCAAACGGGCCCTGCAGTGGCATGGTGCTGATTAGAATCATGAAAAAACACAATGCTGCTCCACTCAGGGGAACATTAAAAACACACGGATGCCATTTTGATCCGAGGCTCCAAAATAAGACCTACAGATCGGGACAGTGTTGTCCAACAATGCCATATATTTGTATAGGCGTAACTCTAGAACATATTTATTTCATTCATGAGGCGTGGAGTAAATGTTCATTGTTGTTTTTGCTGTCTTGTCCTTGTATCCGAAGTACACAAGTGTATATTTGTGTATAAGAGTTATTATGACCTTCATGGAACGGCAACAAATGACTGTCGGTGTATTTTGTATGTGTATCTTTGTACAGTATGATTTTATTGAATTACTGAGTATTTTATTTAATATTTTGCTGGTGCTCTTGGTCAGACCTCTCGTATCTCTCTATGAGTAAATACAGTTTGTACAGAGGAAAATATTTTCTTTTGTATTTCTGATCATTTTCTTTTTTACTCAAGTTGAAATGCAATTTAGAATGGCTTCTTCTCTCCTTCATCTTTGTCAGTTTAAATCATTTAAAAAGGTTCTTCATTATCAGAAAAGCAAATAAACTTTAAAAAGAAAATTAATCTTAAAAATACAATATCCCAAAAATGTAATTTACGATTCCTAAATTGGTTAAAAAATAACCATAATAGGAAATCATTTTTCTAGTACTAATAAAGTATATTTTATAATATATGATGCGTTTATCACATAACATAAACAGGCATAAAAACTGTTTGTCATATGTCACAAAAACAGCGGTTTGCCAAAATAAAGTCCTAATATCTTATCCGTGAAAGTCAGTCCAGTGAACAAGACAACTTCAACTTCTACGTACGTTTCATGTATAGTCATTTTGCTATTACTCATGATAAGATGCTATTAAACTTTATCCAATGTATTATAGTGGAACATTATTAGTATTATGAAAATAGGGTTGTACCATATGTCCAGACTAGGAAGGATTTGATGATTTGATTCTGTTAATGGTAGGCAGTGTCACTGCAGCTCATTGAATATACAGTAGTACAATACAGGGAGTACAGGGAGTGATCATTGAGCTGTTCTTTTTAAGCTCATTGTCCATCAAAGCAACTAAAGAACATGGATACCTCCTTTTATCATTTTGAATCATTTCTTGCTGTTTCTTTTCACTTTGGCCAGTTTTTGCATTTCAGAAGGATTTTTTTTTAATGAAACTAATTTATTCGTTTACAATAGATTATTCATTTTCGCAGCTTTAATGTTTTGTTACAGTTTGGATTGATGCGACACTTTGCTTGAATTATTTGTCATTATACACACATGTTACTTTGCTGCTTGGGGCTTTTCACAGCCGGCAAAGAGAAATACCTGCGGGGTCATTTCCGCCACTGTCTGCAGTCATGTGACCTGATTAGCAACGTGCATATTGAGCAACACACCTTTTCAGGATTTAGGGCCAGTTTTGTTTCCATGCTCCAGTACACGGTAACATGCCCGATCAGTCAGGTATTAACCAAATCTCCCTCAATGCAGGGGCCGCGGTACCTCGCCGTATAAAGCCTGAGGAAGTGTCGAGGCTCTTCCAAATATAACAAGTTAGCGCCCTGATTTTGATTTTAGTTGAAGCAACATGACATTATCATGACATATATTTTCGGTGAAGTGTTGCAGCTGGCTCTGTATTCATGTCTGCAGTTAGGATGTGTGCAGTCTCCTTCTTTGTTACCTTTTCTTCTGTCACTGTGTATCCTTCTCAACCAAGACTTCCACTGCAACCAAGACTCCTCAGCCAAGGCAGTTTCACTCCTTCACACCTTTAAACCTGTGGTGCAGAATTGCCGAACTTAAATCGGCAATTCTACTTTATTTTTCATATTTTGGTTGTTGTTCTTCATATTATTTATTTCATTCACATGCAAAACTACATAAACATGTTGAATTAGCTTTTTCTCAATGTAAAGATTATTAAAGAAACATAACTGTGAACTTGTGTTGTTTCTAAATGCGATAATTTTCTAGCAAAAACCAGACGCAGGTCTGTGCCTTTAACGTTAGTTGTAGCTCTGTAGTCTAAAGCAGAGGTCCCCAACCACAGGGATGCGGACCGGTACCGGTCTTTTTTATTTTGAGAAACGACCGGATTCTCTCCCAATTACATGCGCTCGTCCCCCTTGACACAATTCCCAAGTGTCACCCGAGTGACACGAGCTTCTGAGCACATGTAAATCCTCCAGACGTCCCTCTAGGGAACAAGATGGGTAAACCAAATAAGACAATTCACTACAAAAGTGTAACAATTCAAATATATTTTATTATCTTCACAGTGGAACAGTTGACAGCAGGTATGTTTTTATAGTACTAATACTCTCTTTTAAATCATGGGTATGCAATATATATTTTTTTCAGTTTATAGTGCGTATCTGAGTTACTATAAACAACTTGACTTGAAGGTCGTTATAAGGTGTTCTGCTATTTGACCCCCAACTCACTTCATTTAGTTTACCCCCTTTTGCTTTAACCCTCCTATAATAATGCAGTCTTTGGGGACTGAGTTACACTCACGTTTTGTTGTATCTGTAGTACTTCTCATACCTCTGCGGAATGTAGTGTAAGAACGCTTCTAAGCCTTTTCCTTTTATGCACTTTAACATTTTATTTTGTTGTGTCCCTGGAGAGAACAGAACACGGCCCAAATCAAACTTTGGCGCTGGGTGGCACATCTGTTCATCATTGCAGTAATCGAGCGCTCTGTAATGTATTTGGCAGGAGACCTGCATGGTATTACTTTTACTTCTACAATAATTGGTATTAATGCATGCATGGCAAGGTTTATTTAGTTGAGGAGACCAAAAGCAAGCTTTGGAAAGCCAGTATTTAGAGAACTGCTGATTTCAGTCATGTATTTCCCTCAGGTCATTCTTTGAAGTAACGCACATATGTGAGTAGTAATACCGAGCAGTTTATTCAAATAATTGCAATTCACTTAAATACTTTTTACATAGACTGAGCAACTCAAAAGAGACGACGTCAGATTATTGCTCCATATAACTCTGCACAAAGCCGACATCGATGAAACTAAGTCAGAGAATAAAAACCCTTCTAAAAGGAACTTTACACATGTATGTCTTATAGTGCAAAAAGCCTCTATTCTATTAATAGATGGTCATGTTTAGGACTTGGTGGTCTTTCACAGGCCAGAGGGCGTTCAAATTCTCTGGAAGCTCTTGCTTAACTTTTTCCAAATATCTGTCATGGCTTTAGATTGCTTACCTTATGTAATGGTCTCTTTTACCCTCAAACTATTCTGCAATGCTTAAAAGAAACTCTCCGCTTTATATTCTATTATATAATTGTATACTGTTAATTATCTATTGGGAAAGTGGTTGACTATCACAAAATGCTAATTACTTGTGAAGCGCTTCAGCCGAGCCTCTGCATTTTATTTCATTTTTACATTAGTGGAAATAAACCCAAATACTTGTTAATAAGAAAATTACTTGGATAATTATGGTAAACTACCATCTTCAATTATAAACGTATGTCTTGCACTACTCAAAGATGTGTATTGCTTCCTGATAACCTTTAATCATCAAGAGTAAGGACAATAATGTCCAAAAACGTATGTGTTCAATTTACTTTAGTTTATCCCTCGAAAATATTCCGCTGCCATTTTTCGTCCTGGAACTCCAATTGTTTCTAATTGTCTTAAAGTGACGTCTTTAAAATGACTATTGTAAAAGCTGTATTCATTTTCAAAACACATTTGTCACGTATAAAGAAGAAAAGACACACAACAATTATCACATTTATTGCAGCAGTGTATAGTTTCAGACAGAGTTAAGCCTAAACAATCAGAAATGTAAATTCCACAAACTAATGACGTGCCTTTAAAGCAATGTCCAACATGTGCAATCAGCTACAATAAGACTGTGTGTGGTAAATTGGCAACCAGGGCACAATTTCAGCCATTTATGCCTTTTTGTTGCAAACAAAAACATAGCATTTCCTGTCACGAGTTGCTTCCTCGTGCAGCTGAGCGTCTGTGACCTAATAATGCTGCTTTAAATTAAATCCACATGCACACCGTTGACATACTTTGGCCCGAGGGCAGCGGGCAAGAACTCTCTGCAAACCTGTCATCCGTGGGGTCAGTTGGCCATGACATGCTCTTGTGTTTCTGATCATGTGCATATGCCAGTCGAGTGGGATCAATTGAAGCGGTGGCTGAAGGGCCCCCTGCGGTCCTCCAGAGCGCAGCGCTTGTTATGGCTTTGATTTAAATCTGAGTCGAGGGAGCTATTGTTTCAATTTGGCCTTTGAGAGAAAGCAAAATAGTTTAGTTGATGATTTGCTGGTTAAAAGTCAAGCACTATGGCCTACAGATATTTGCAAACCATTAAGACTATGGAGGCTGGAACCAAATGCTTTCAAGATGTAATCTGAATTATCTTAATATTTGGACTGCTTTTATGGGTCCAGCAGTTGAAAAACATGACGATAAGTTGAGTATATTACCTGCTGTAATTTGGTTTGCCAGCAGAAAACCAGGATTTTGGCGCTGTCAAAGTCAAGTCCCATCTGGAAGCTTGACTTAACTTAACGTTAACTTAACGTGGTTGTGCATTGGAGTAGATTAACAGAGGAGTCCATCCAGTAAAGGTCAGGCTATATTTTTAGGTAATCCAAGGTGTGAGCAGATGTGGTGAGATGCAATGAGACGAGACAAGGTGTGAAAGTGTGGAAACATTTAGTGGGGTTTAGCTCAGGCTCATTGAATGATAGGGAACACAGCCTCACTTTGACACAGGTAGAGTGCGCCTGCTTTTCCTCAACTCCTCTGTCAAGGATTCTAAAGTGGTTTAGGGCCTCTTGGAGTCACTTCTTAGACTCCACTTAAATGCAAATTCTTCTCCCATGAGGTTAACGCGTCAGACTTGACGGGGCCTGGTCCTGTTTGGGCCTGTCGATGCTATCAAGCTGAAATTGAGTTATTTTTCTGTTTTGTTTTGGCATCCATATCCAAGAGCTTTTTCCCTTCTGATTGGGGGGACGGCGATAGCTTGGATGTTCGAGCCCACCCGCCCAGTAACAGAGGGCTGATTTTGTGCTGTTTTGACTACACTCTAGGAGTCAGACATTTAGCTGTATGTGTACCTTACTGTCGGACTGTGTGTGCTGTACTTTCTATGCACGTTAGCTACCTGTCAGGTCGTCTTTGATGCACTATTCACTGAAGATATTTTCATTCAGAGGGAAAATCCACCGTTCACGCATTGTGTATTTCTAGGGCTGCAGCTAGCGACCATTTTTTATTTATTAAGCATCTGCCCGTCATTATTATTATTCCCGAGTGCTTTCATTTTTTGGACTGTAAGGTATTGAAAATAGTAATAAATGTCCCTACTTTCTTTGTCAGCTGTTCAAAGCCCGACTTAGCCAAAGAAATATTTTACAAAGTGAACCATATCGGCTATTTTTGCCTGGAAGTTTTACTCTATTAAACTGTTTGCCACAGTAATGTAATAACTCATTGGTCCAGCTCTATGTACAGTATAGCAGTTATTATTAAGTACACGTTCATATTGACGTTTTAGTACTTTGTTAAAATGACAGAAGCTGTCAAGGACTGGCTCTACTTTGCCTCACGCATCGCTGCAATATTTATCTGGGTTTACTGAGACGAATGAAACCAAAACCTCATGTTTATTTCTGCTGTTCGGATCTAAATCCTTCGCCATTGTTCTGGAAATGTGTTGACCAGCCAGGGCGCGCCAGGAAAAAACGCTGGTTTGGGTGTTTTTTGTCCAATGGTAAAACCCACTGACTCGACTCAAATCAGACACCCTTTCAGCAGAGCTTCAAGTGAGTTGGCAAACAATTCGTGTTTTAATAGTGGATATGTGGTAACACCAGGTGTGGATTTCTTCTGTCTTTATAACAGGGATATTCTTCTCGTCATGCAGCGTTCTTTATGTTTTTATTCTTTCTTTAGTGGGAAGAGAGACCTAGAGTTAAATGCTCAACATCAATTGTAAGTATTTTAACTCTCTAATTGGTCTCCTATATTTTTAAAGTTCTGTCCTCAAGAATTAGCTTTATTCCAATGTATTCATCATTCCATGTGCAGTAGAGTGCACATATGAGCAGGCCGACTACATAGTGATGGAAAAAGTACTCTGTGAAATGTTTAGACTGGCGGAAAAACTTCGTCGTTTCATTTTGACTTATAGTTTCTTGGTGTATCTTTCTCGAGTGGTGTTGACTTAAAGAGGAAACTGCGTTGGAGAAACTGTATATGCTTACTCAACCAATTGTTTATTTAACTCTTAAAAGCGTGACAAAATACAAGAACCGCACTGATGGAGTCTGGGAACTATTTCCATTTAGCAGTTGACATCAACTGCTAAACTTGTCTGAACTGAATTTGTACGTTAGTGCCTGTAGAATATCTCCGGCCATTTTCTGGGTTCTATGGTTCGTCGCACGCCGTCAGGTTGGTCACGCGGAAGTTAGCAAAGCTAAACGTGACATGGGTTGGATTCAAAAAATGTCACAGTGCTCCTGTGCGTGGTTTCAAACGAGGCCGGATGGATAAAAGATCTATGACTCTTGACATTCCTGTGCCCCGTGACGCCGCTCTTACCGGCTGTTCCCATGTTGGCAACATGTGTTGTTTGGACTCTTTGAGACCTCCCTGCAAAACAAGAGCACAGACAGAAAAGCAGCCTGAGGTCTCTGTGACCCTACACCTCTGGTCTCCTTCTCTCTCGGATTTGTGCTTTAATCTTTGCGCCGAAGGACATTGTGATACTGATTAAGCTAAAACAAACGCCACAAACATGGCAATGTCTCCCCAGGCAATACAGTTCACACCGATGGCTGCTGGCTCCCAGCGTGATTATGCGTACTTCTGATGGAATAACAATCGGAATAGAAAAAGCGTAGTTTAGAGTATGACTGTTCCTCACACCGCTGACAACGTGTAGCTCCGGGTATAATTCTGCACTCCCTTCAGTCTACTCTGGCAAGTTGGTTCTTGCTCCGGGTCCACGCCGATCTCCTTTGAAGAGCGTGCGTAACTATGGTAACCGTACGCCTGGTATTACCGTGGTGTTGCATTGCGAGCGTGCCGCAATGTGATTGGCTCCCACATTTTAAGACAAGTTTCGGGAATACAAAAAAAAAAAAAAAAAAAAAAAATGTGTTCCATCATACAACTTGTATCGTCTCTACGGCCGGACCTTGTTTTCCAAACTCAATTCGCCTTTAATCGGCGAAAGAAAGCCCAGTCAGAGTCTGCTGCTCGACATTTACACACGCAAGGCAGTGCTGATCTCTGTTGGCTTCGGGGGAATTTACCTTCTCTGTGTGAGGTATTGCGCAGTATAAACTGCTTTGAAAGCCACGTTGGCTGAGTGACAGATATGTAAGCTCTGGTCAGGTTCCTCTTGGATCCCTAACAGCTTCCATGTGTCCTATTGGCTTACCTGCTCACAGACATGCTTTGGCTGGGGTCATCTCGAAGTTGACGCCATTTCTGCTCAAAAGAAAAGTATCTCATATCACTCAGTTAGAAGTAATCTGGAAGACATATATCACCTTTCGTTGTGTTAAAAACTCCCCCAAGCATGAATTAGCAGGCTCTGCTTTAGCACTTAATTACGTGATCCTCTTTGAGCAACGAAGCGTAGAATCATTTGGAGCTGCTTGTTCATTAGCTTTAAATATCAATTATAACTTCCTCTGCATAATTCCTGCTCTGCTTGGAAGAAAGTCATTTCACAAAAGCGGACGATTCCTCCCATTTTACAGTAATCCCCACTCCTTCTAGATGAACCTCACCGGATTATAACAGATCGAACTTTACTGGCACAACGTGGGCGGTCAGATCACAGGGAGAGAGTTTCATTGATTCTTCTCATGTTAAAGGGAGAATCCCATATATTCACTCTCATGCCTCAGCGACGTTTTCAGAGCACCAACACAACATTTCAACTCGCACATAGTTCAGAGCACATGCACAAACACACATGCAAACAATCCATTTTAAAGTCTCCTAACACAGGCGACACCATTTGTTTGTAAAGACAGCGAAGCGGCTGGATGGTGAGCGGTCCCACTCGTAGCGGCGGAGCGGGACCGATGAGTGGAATGCTCTTACCTGAGTGGGTGCCGCTGAGTGAAGCGGCCCAGCCGTGGATCCGGAGGCAGAGGTCCCTCAGGTCTCAGAGGCGAAGCTGTCCTCTGGTCCCACGAGCTGTGCCAGCCCTCCGTGCCGCGCGTTACCGGCCCTGATTAACTAATGGCTGACAGATGAGGTTGGCGGGGTTGGAGGGAGGAGCACGTCGCCACACGGCGTCTTTTCTCCCAGCGTCAGGAATAGAGTTCAGCTGGGGGAGCACAGCCCGTATGGCTGCGATTTTCTTTCTTCCTCCCTTTTTTTTCTCCTTCCCCCCCCCCCCTCCTGCTTTTTTACAGCCGTGAGGAGGGGCCAGCCCTGTGCTTGGCCACCCTCTGGCATGTTTGTCGGTCTCTGCTCTTGTCTGAGGTGGAGTTCTGTGTGAATCCCACAATGCGCGCAGACAGTCACTCGGCTTTGATGTTCTCCGTCAGCTGAGCCGACCCCGTCTTTAAAATGTCTCTGTAATTTGCAATGTGCATGATGCGTGTGTGTGCGTGCAGTGTCAACCACTACACTCAAGCAAAGCAAAGGCCGGTTGCTTTGTTTGAGGGGTTCAAATGGATACTCATAGAAACAGCGTATGTGTGTGTGTGTGTGTGTTTGGTGTTATACAACATTCTGATATCATAATTAGAGGACAATGCAATATTATGTTTATTATCTGGACTGGAAAAGACAAAATGCAACTCTCCTCGTCTTCGACGATCCGATTCCAGCACCTCACTTTGAGAGCTGCTTTGAATGGGGCCGCTCCAGCAGAAATGGCCGGCATCCTACTTGCCGTCTGGCCTCATGAGGACCGAATACTCCAGAATATTACCATCTACAATCTGAGAGCTTTTATTCGTTGTCGTTGTCGTCGTCTCTCTGGGTTATGCGTACCACATGATCGTCCTTATTTTGTGTCTGTGTGAGCGATTGACAAAGGCTTTGGGTGAAATCCATTTCCTTTTTATTCGTGCAGTTTTTAATACCTTCTTGCAACCATTCTGAGACTGACAGCCTCGTTCTGGGAGCCTCTCCTTTCCACTCAACACCCCCCTTCTCTCTCCTTCCCTCTCCAGTGTTCAGTGAGTTGCGGTCGAGGCACCAAGCAGCGGCAGATAGCCTGTGTGTATCAGAACCAAAGCCAAATAGCGGAGGAACACTGCGGTCATCTTCCTCGGCCGCGGACGCAGAAGTCCTGTCGGGCTCGAGGATGCCCGAGCTGGAAGGCCAACAGATGGACGGAGGTATGTTTGCTCTTCTCTCCGTCAGCCCCGGCTCCCTCTCGGGGACCGAACCAGCAGTAGCTAGCAGCTGACACCCAAGCGCCGGCACAGCAGAAGGGTTGTCCAAGGCTGCAGATGTAGGACATGTACACACAGCAATCCCCACTCCGGTTATTTAGGGTCAAGAGTAACGTGTCTTTTCTAGTGTGAGCTGAACACTGCAGGCTAGCTTTGCAAAACTGTTGCACTTTCTGCACTTGCGGGAACCCCAAGGTTGGAGGTTTGAGCCCCGTCTGCTCCATGTCCCATGTCAGAGTGTCCCTGAGCAAGACACCCTCACCCCTAAATGTAAGTCGCTTTGGATCAAGTGTCAGCTAGATGACCCGTAATGTAATTGCAACCTCTCATCAGACCACGAACTGTTCCAAAAGCATTGCATGACACATACAAAGGCTACTTTATGCAGGTTACATTCCAGGTCGTGATAATCACACCGCAGCTCAAAATGATGTGTTATTGAAACACAGAAACATGGAGATCCAAAGTAGCAGCTGACGCAGATGATGTTAAGAGTGACACGTGTGGCGAAGCAAAGCAGGTCTCGGTACCATTGTACGCTGACGAGTGAGCTCACAGTCAACTTGAAGCGAACCACACACTCACCAACAAAAAATAAGAAACATGCAACCCAGTTTGGGCTTAAAGTCCCATAAAGATTCCTCCGGATGGTAAAATATTTAGAGACAAATGCATCTTATCTCTGACAAGCATACACACAATAAATACAAACTATTAGGGACCCCTAACACATACAAGTCATGTGATATATTGCAATAATACACATGCCATAGCCCCATTTGCATGGCAGTGAGAGCCGTCATGTGGCCGCTATCTGACTATTAATCTCGGTCAAATCGAATGTACTACAGAGTTGACCAAATAAAGTCGTAGAAAAAGTATAAAGAGAGGCAAAAAATGAATTGTTTGTAGCTACTTTAAGATGTGAAACCTTTGATATTGTACCACAGACTATTTACTGTTGCCCGTTGACTGAACAATGTTTTTTTTTATTTTTTTTATTCCAAAAAATCTTTAAAAAATGTTCCATCTCTTGTTTAAAAATCTGCTCCCTGGTAAATACTGAATCCCCGAAGGGCCCATCTTCCACGTAACTCCTAGCACTCTTTGAGTGTTTCTTCCTCCCCTCCCTCCCTCCCTCCCTCTCTCTCTCCCTCTCTGTCTCTCTCTGTGGTGTCTGGAAGCAATCATCTTCCCCCGCATACCACCAGCCACCATGAAATCTTCAACTGAGGCATAAAGACATGTTTTATATTTTAATATCCATTTATGTGACAACTTTAAAACCTCAGTGCCCACTGTTAGTTATTACAGCTACATAGTCACCTCTATCTGGGGGTGTAATGGACATGTTAGAGGGGCTGAAACATCTGCCTCCACCCTATTACAATAGAGCTGAATGGGATATAGTTTGTATTTTCAAATAGATCAAATATAAAGATATTTCTTCAGTGTGAAGTAGTTTGTTTCAGTGTTTTCAAATGCTGTGAGCATCATTAATACAATACAAATGAATTGTTTTAAAAAGTAAGTGTCTTACCACCTAATAAAATAGTCTACTGGGATGCAATCGGCACCATTTTGAAATCATAAGTCTCTAAACATGAAATACAGCCACCCGATAGAAGGACTCTACGTTTTTTGCAGGAGTAAAGAATCAGGTTTCACAGTAAACTGTTGTCATGCTTTGTGAGATAAAGAAAAACATTTTTGGTCAGATTTCCGCTTGTGCTTTTTGCTCTCATTCCCATCTCAAGTCCTTGACCCTTCGTTTTCAACCACACACCTGCAGCTGGAACTGAACAAGATAAAAACATCTGGAGGTTTTGGAGAGATCTGATGATTGCTGAATATCGCGTTGATTTCTCCTGACTCTGTGTAATGGCTGCGGCCTGGCTGGCACCGTTCTTTGAGGTCTGCAGGAGACTTCAGAAATCAGGCCGATCAGCTCGAGCCGCACAAAGAGCTTCCTTAGTATGCAGGTATGCTTCTCAAAGCACATCAAAGAGACGTTTGGGAGAGGCCTCCGCGTGACCCCAGATATGCGTCGCACAAAGAAGCCACAAACTGGCCTTTGGATTTATTAAGACACTGCAGACCAAACAGAGAATTGCATTAAAAATGTTGTGGTTCCAGTATGGTGGTTAACCATTAGTGCAGACATAACTCACAGCAGCAGTGGCATATGTTCACTGTGAACTAAGCCTTTATGTGTGTGTGTGTGTGTGTGTTTCTGTTCGATTAGTGTTCTGTTACCTGTGGAGTGGGAGTTCAGAACCGACGTGTTTACTGCAGACTAAAAGGCACCGGACAGGTCCGGGAGGACCTCTGTGGAGCCCACCTGCGTCTCGCCGCTGTCCGGCCTTGCCAAACTGCAGAATGCACACACTACTCTTGGGTTGCCGGTGAATGGGAAGAAGTGAGTACCGACTTGCTCCTTCTCGCTCTCTGCCTCTTTAACAGTCCCCCACGGACAGATGTTTAACCATCTCATTAAGGTTTTTACTGGCTGAGATCTCCGCTCTCTCTCCCTGTCTCTGCACCGTTAAATGGACGACCTGCAGTACACCCCCGCCCCCCCCCCCCCCCCTCACGTCAACCCTGAGGGCCTTGCTGATAGCCATCAGTCGGCAAATCATCCCATCTTCCCTTTTGTCCTGCTGAGTATCGCTGTTCTCTGTCACGCCAGCTGTGTGCTCTCTTCCCTGCTCATCCTTCTCTAATGTCCCGCTCTTTGTCCCTGACTCGGGGCACCCATGTAGGGACATGGAGCTGTGTCCTTCTGCTGCAGAATGTTTGCAGTGTTCAGATTCCCTGTGTGTGTGTTACCTCGAGCCCTCGCAGCCTTATTTCTGTCACCGTTTGGCCCCCGCCTTTTTACATAAATAAACTTTAAGGTTCTGGGCCATATCATTACTTTAAAATGCTCCTAATAAACCCTTACTGCGCCCGAGGGAGACCAGCTTAACTTTTTGTGTTTTATGGAAACATTTTCAACCAGCGCACATGTTTGGGATTGTGCTCCATTGACCATTCTGGTCTTGTGTAAACTTCTCCGTTATGGGACGTGTCTTATTTGGAGAGCTCAAGAGGCGTGCAGGAGTCCCGAGGAGTCGAAGGTGGTGCGGAAAGTACAACACTGCCCCCCCTCTGCTGACTCTCCTTCCCTCCTACTGATTTCTTCCCGTGCTACATTGTCCTTTTAGTGCAACGCGACATGTGGAGAAGGCAGAAGAAGCAGGAAGGTGGGCTGCATGGGCCCAGGAATCACACCCGTCCAGGTTGATTATTGTGAGCCCTCGTCCCAGCCGCCATCCCACCAGCCCTGCCAAGGAGCTCCCTGCCACCACACGTGGACCACAGGGCAATGGTCTCAGGTAGAGAAGTAATAAAGACTGAGCTACTTGTTGCTGTGAATCTGAGCCAAACGCAAACGTTACTTTATAGGGAAGGAAAATGTATTCCATAGGATGCATGATTAATAAAACCTGACTAGATTAGGGGAGGCAAAAGTTGACATATTGGATTTAAACATTAGTAGGAGACAGTCTATATTTCAACAGACTTTGGCTCATTAAAGGAAAGAAAGCAATGAAACAATAGATTCTCAAAAGTATCATATTGATGTCGCTGATGCGTCGTTGTATTTGACAGCACCGCTCTGTGCAAACATGTACCGATGCCCGTCTTTGTTGTCTGTCATTGTCCTGGTGTCTGCGTGTGGCTCAGTGCTCTGCCAGCTGTGGGGTGGGATACCAGCAGCGTGCAGCCTCCTGCTCCGTGATGCCCTCCTCTCAGGCCCGCCGCCCGTACGCCGCCGCGTCTTCCAGCACCCGCTGCCCCGAGCCCCAGCCCCCGGGCTCCAGGCCGTGCCTCCTCAGGGACTGCCCGCACACAACCTACTGGAAGGTTGGGCCTTGGAGCAAGGTGAAAACAGAAAGTGCTTTTTAAAGCGAGTCAACCATTTCCACACAACGTTTTGATGACTTGTGCGTTGTGATGTTATCCGCGGCTGCGGCTCATTTGAAAGTTGGTTTTGTTGCTGTGGGATCGAAAGCTTTGTCTCTGCATACCAGTGTTCGCAGACCTGCGGGGCCGGAGTGATGGAGCGCAGGGTGGAGTGTGTGACCCCCAAAGGCCAACCGTCCAAACACTGCCGTCCTTCAGGAAGGCCCGAGTCCCAAGCTGCGTGTCAGGACACAGAGTGTGAGTGAAAGTCATCCCCCCCACTTCTCCCCCCTCCCCCCCAACCCCCACCTCCTCGCCTTGTTTTCTTCTTGGCTGTTAAGTACATAACTCTAAATGTCTACCATCTGATCCACGTCGTGCTTGCTGGCAGCCGGGAGTTTGCGGGCCGATGCTCTTAAATGGACTGTGCGGAACATGGCAGCCAACACCATATCTAATCGTGTCTACAGAAACTCGACATTTTGCTTTGTTTTAACACATTTTTGCAGAGCAGCAACTTCCCCTTGAAGCTTCCCGGAGTGATTGCGTAGTGGAACATTGAACAGACAGTTTACAACTTATTGTGAAATGGCGAGTCTATCAAAAGCCTCTGGGGAGGTGCGTGTTGTGGCTGGAGCAGCCTTCATTGTGAACATGCAAGCTCCGCAAAAGCCGGCAGCAGGCCAAAGGTTGTACATTTGCCCCCCCCCCACACTTCAGATTTTTCAGTACTTGCGCACTGGGCTGTTCATTCCCGACTTGGCTTCTGCCAAGTCATGCACAGCCGAAATTAAAATGGTATGCTCGGGTGACAGCCAGTTCTGCGGTCAAGTATTAATGCTAATCAGCTCGATATGAGCTCCACAGCACGAGGCAATACAGACAATGAGACGGGTACAGAAGCTCGAGAGCAAGGGGGTCGCTTCTGATATGGAGGTGTTTAATGTATCACCTGCAGTCTTGCAGACTTGTTTACCTTTTTTTTGGGACAAAGTGAGGTTTGTGGTTTCCTTAGAGTTGAGATGAACGCTCTCCTCCCTCCCTTCATATTTCTTCAAACAGGCCAGTTGTTCGCTTCATGTCGAGACGTCCAGATGAGGCTCGGGGTGAAGATAGATGGGGAATACCATCTGAAAGTGAAGTCCCGGATACTACAGGTGTGCCTGTTCTGTCAAGACATGACCCTCCACCCCCCCCCCATGGGGCGACCTTTCCGTTTCCCCCACAGCCTCTCCTTCATTGTCTCGATGTGTTTGGCTTCAGATTTACTGTGCTGAGATGCAGACTGATTTCCCCAAGGAGTATGTGACCTTACGCAGCGGGCAGACGGACAACTACTCTGAGGTGTATGGCAACAGGTGTGTATAATGCAGCGATGTACATAGAGACAGCGTTTTCCTTCAATAAACCCCGATGCTTCTTGTCGTTTAAACACAGGCTGCTGAACCCCTTTGAATGTCCGTTCAACGGCAGCCGAAGGCAGGACTGCGACTGCAGGAACGACTACTCAGCGGCTGGATACACACTCTTCCACAAAGTCCGTGTGGACCTAAGCTCCCTGAGGATAATGAGTGAGTAATTACAGTGGGATTGCCTTACTCCGTCTACTGCAATCACACTCGCATCAGTGTGGTTTCAACCCTCAGACGCCTCGTCCTCTGGTGCTTAATAGCACCGCGTGCGAGTGCAGTTTGTGCGCTCGCGCTCGCTCTCTGCTGAAGTCAAACCGATGCTCAGACGCACGGACGGACGACATGGGACGCGGCCTCGCACACTCCTTCTTTGTCGAGGGCACACAAGAAGAACTGGAGACGCAAGCGCACAAACCCACATTCTACGCAGTCGCGTCAATGTCAGACTGACACGAGAATATAGCCTCACATTCAGGCCGTACAACAGTGTGTGTGTGTGTGTGGGTGGGGTGGGGGGGGGGGGGGGGGGGGTGACACCACATTGTCTCCGCGCGCCGGTATGGTACTCATTTGGATTTCAGGCAGCTTGAAGCGAGCTGTGGAGGGGTGGGGGTGGTGTGGATAATGAGTTCAAGGTGAAGGGAAGCCTCTGGTGAACTTTTTATCATTGCATGCAGGCCAACGTGAAGGGGGGGGGGGGCAGGAACCGGCACTGGTCATGTGTGACTATGGTAATGAACAGGAGAGTTGGGGAAACGAGGTTCAGATTGAGTCCCCTGATTTCAAAGGTAAAGCAGACATTTGACATTAAATTAAATTAAGTTTGTGTTGAATTTAACGATAATCAGATCCAATGTCAAATTGTTCAAATTTATATAGATCTTCTTCGTTTTTAGGGAGATGGATTACAACATTTAAATATTGAAAATCTCCTAAGAAGAACTGTTTATTGTAGAGTGATTTCTCACAAAGAGAGAAACATCTGGCGGTGTGACAGCGAAGTAACATCAACCCTGCAATGAGAGCGATGTGCGTAAACTGCAGCTGCTGATGCTCTCTGTGGCTGTTTACTTAGAGCAGCTGTCTGTCCTCTCTGTTTACTTACTGTTGCACATTGTGACTCCAGATTTGTATCTTTGCTGTTTACCAGTCACAGACCTGCAGTTTTCCCAGACTCTTCTCGGTCGACCTGTGCCCTTTGGTACGGCGGGAGATTGTTACAGTGCAGCCAAGTGTCCCCAGGTTGGTGAAATACATTATAACCTCATAGAAATGTTCCGTGTGTCCGTTTTATCACATGTGTCTGTTAGTGGCCAAGAAGATAAAGAAGGAACTTCTTTACCAAATGTTTCCTGCAATTATTCCCTAACTGTGGGGGGAAAACACAATAACTTGTGTGGGGTCCCCACATAGTTGTGTGTTCTTCTGCAGTTCATACCTTGTTCTGCAAACATCAATAAGCTTCCTCTTCCCTGTTAAGAAGAAGAACTTTGATGTGTGTTTTCAGGGCCAGTTCAGCATCAATCTGATTGGCACTGGTCTGAAAGTGGCCGAGGAAACCAAATGGACTTCACAAGGCAACTACGTGTCCATCAAAGTTCACAGATCTGAGGTAAGAGTTGACTAGTTAACTCCTAAGAAATGGATTATGCAATACACACCTTGTTGTAATTGTTCTTCATGTTGTGAGATGCTGCTCTGCTGAAAGTGGACGTTGTGTCACCGTCTGATTATTCCATATGATCTTTTGCCCTTTGCCCATTCTTTCCCCTCTAATTTGCATTTGTCTGTAGGACGGAACAAGAATCTACGGCCGCTGTGGGGGTTTCTGTGGGAAGTGCATTCCCCAGGCTAACAACGGCCTACTCCTCCAAGTCCACTGAGGATCCACGCAAGGACCCAACCCGGAAACCACGCTGAAGACTGGCGCAGAAACACGCAGTAGCAGGGATTAGTTGGACCCCGTCGCCACGTGTAAGTGTGGCGGAGGAGCATTTAGCAGTAATCTTCCCACTGTAACATACCCACTTCCCAAATGGCAGCTAAAGCATTCAAGAGACTATTCACAGTTCTGTGCAGCGCTACAAGGCCCCTTTCTGGACCTTCATCCTAACTGCGGACTCTGAAGAAGAGCCAGCTGCATCTGCATGTCAACTGCGTTGCAATCACTATCAAACAGGTCTGTGCGTTGGAACCTGCGATGTTTTATCTTAACACTGTTGTGCGTTATTTTTAGCATTATACAAAGGGATAGTTCAAGACACTGGGAAGGGAATGCGTTACCTGGAGAAAGTGAAGCTCATTCTATGAAAGATAAATTACTTTTTTTCAAGAATGATCTCGCAATCAATAAGAAAGTATAGCGATTAATATACTGTTTGTTTGTATTAATCATTTTAATCCTGTGGTAAGAAGAAGTGCTACAAACTCACATAGAAATAGTATCCAAGGGATGGATGTATTATTTTAATATGAAAACCTCTAAAGGAGCTACACTGCTGACCGTCTTGGCCTTACAGAAGTTTAGTTTGACATGTTGGTACATCCTGATTTTTTTGTCGGGAGTCAGATGGAAAGATATCGCTCAGTGTTTACGATAAATGTGAATCTTTATCTTTGAGGCGCCAGACTTGAAGAGAGAGTAAGCTTGCAACTAACTACTGATACGACCTGCCTTACGAGGTCAAACCTTAGGAGGGCGCGAGAAGCCTTTAGAACAACTACAGATGCTTTTACTTTTTATTGTTGTGTATTTCTAAAGTCAGTCGTCGGGTATTTCACAACACTACTGCGGTTATTATTACGGACACATAGAGACAGAATAAACCCGAGCGACGTGAGGAGTAAATAGCTGAAATATTTGCTGGTGTAGTAGTGAGTATAAAAGTCTTCTTTGGCTTTTTCAAACTAAGAGGATTCTGTTATCTTTGGATAGTTTTTCTTTAGTGAAGCCACAAAAACAAATCTGTTACGCCGGGACACGGTATCCTCCATCGGGCCTACTGTAGGTGCCTGCAACCCCTACCTCTTACAAACACCCATACTCTACTGAGATATGTGTTGTGATATATTTATGTTGACCATATTTATTCTGTAATGACTGTAGATATGTTCAATGTTTTACGGTACAACGACTACTACCAACGGAGAAGCCTTTTTGTCTGCTTTGCAAAAAAAAAAAAAAGTATTAGTCTACTACTACATGTAGTGTTGAACCACTAACGTTAAGTGTCAATCTTCTGAATGGTGCTGTTGAACTACTGGAATTGCTTCTCACCTTGAGATTTTGACATTTCAGCAAATGCGACACTGGCCTATAATGCATGTAACGGTCCTCTTATTAGTGTAGCTGAAAAAAAATGGCTTCAAGGTTGTAGGGTGGTTCAGATGAACCACTGCATGAGGACGTTTGTCCTCCGGTAGTAATCAACTCATTAGAAATGGCTTTAACAATGACCACCACAGCTATCGACCTAACATGCTTGTACTCCGATGTTAAGCTTTAACCAAAGTTAGAATATAGTATCATTTTTTCTTTTCTCAGACAATGCCGCCCCTTTTTGATCTTTAGACCGGCTGATTAAGAAATGACAGAAATAAGTCAATGAGCAGCTAGAAAACCTTTGGCCATCATTTGTTTTTGTGATGGTCAATTGTTCTATGAGGTCTGTATCAGAAATTTAAAGAATACTTGATGCACTATGTGCCACACATGTTGTAGAAATGTAATCCTTTTTTGTAATAACCGTTAAGATAACTTATGATATATAGTGTATTTCTTAATATTCATACTTGAATTGTAAACAGTGTGCTATATTGGGAATGATTGGTAGTGAATAAAGAAACTGTGTGCAGTCATGCTTTATCCAAAGATATTTTTAAGAATCATACGTACCCACAGTATGTATGTAGCCTGTGCTAAAGACATCAATGATTGATGCTGGTGCTATGTCTTCTAATCGTACCTATACTGTGTAATGTGTATGTCTTGCTACTATACTAACGCTGTTTAAAACAAGTAATAATAAAACATGCTTTTAAGCTGAATCAAGAGTTGATTTATGGTTATTTTGCTCGCCGGCTAGCAGTACTGCGATGTCCCTCATTCCGCCATTTTGGTAGAGAGAGAAATTTCTTAACATGATTGTTTGTAGGGACGTTGACGCGGTGCCCAGAGGATGAATCATGTTGATTTTTGGATCAATTACTTGACCTTTGATGACCCTCAGAGCTTTCATCCAGCAAACACTGTTGCTGTATATGCATCTGAATGTTAGCATTGCCGTTGTGAGCGCGTTAGCATGCTTCTGTTAGCGCTTAGCATGGCTTTAAACTCCTAGCCTTAACATACGATTCTCCACTTGATTTAAAAAAACATCAAAATTCAGTGCTTGATAATGATGTGTGTCTGGTATGTTTTTTACGCAAAAATGTGCACTCATGTCATGAAAACGGTTTAACATTAACATCTCCTCTTTCCTCACAAAATAGAATATTTGAACATACAACCTCCTGCTTCACTGAAACTTGTGTAAATTGCATATTGGCACATCAAGTATAGTTGTGATGTCACAAAACCATATTCGGATGACCTCCAAACTATAAGAAATTCCCCCAACACCACGTGTGACAGACAGCCTTTTGGTCCAAACACTGCACGCACATCATTCTGCACAGCAAAGGTCAAACATCCAAGTGATGTCACAATAAGGAAAATGTTTTGAACGGAGGGGGCCATTACATTACATCGAGAACATGCGAAGAGTAAAGCCTCTGGTCTTTGTTATCACCACAGCAAAGTTTCTTTTAATCACAGAGAGGCCGGTTGGTTAATAAAGGAGGGCATCAGGTCAGTGCTTGTGCTCGCCAGATTGTGGCTCCGTGTGGATTCACTTAGTGGTGCAGGTTGCATTTCTACAACACAAGTTCAGCTCCACTTAAGAGACATAAACAGAGCGAACGCCTTTAAATCCATTTCTCACTCAAGTACATTTTGTGGAGTTCTGGAAACAGCTGAAGCTGTCAACAGCCCACTAACTCAACACATTGTTATGTGCAATGAACTCATGAAGTAAGGTTCAGAAAACGTCATCAGGAGTTGGAAAGTACCAGTTTAAAGTAATTACGTCACCACAATGAGCTGAAGATAAAGGTGCAGGTACTTCTGAGAAAAGCAAGCGGTTTAAACCACTTTTCTAGCACTCACTGCACTGAGATAGCTTTGTACATTAAAATGAAAACAGATACTTTGGATCCCTCAAGAAGTGCTTTGATTTCTTGCCAAGAAACTGTCTCGGTATCCAAAATGTAATCTAAGGATATGGAAGGATCCTGAAAAAATGACATAACTCCCCTCCAAAGCAGTTTGCAGTGAGACGAAGCCGAGCTAAGGCACTTCCGGACTCTCCAGGCAAGTCAGAAAAAAAAGCTGGCCTGTTTGCTGTGAGCATAAACCAGACACCTTTAATGACTGAGTTGAAAAACACAAACCTGCGCAGTGATTCCTCATAAAAGACACTAATGATTGATGTTTACCATGAAGTACTTTGAGGTAACAGGGCCGACATTCCAGTGCAATATGCAGCTGCAACATGCACTACAGCAGTGGTTCTCAGCTGGTCTGCCTCCGGAACCCACCATCACCCCTTAATGACAAGCCGCGACCCAAATCGAGGAACATTCTCAACTCCTCAAATTTATTTAATGAAAATATGGTGCAGTTTGAACCTGAGATAGTATGGAGACAGAATACGTATGCCGACACAAAAACAAGTTTAATGAAAAAACAAAACAGCCAGCTGTTAATTCTCATTTTGTATTTTCCCAGGCAAAGGCCCGCGACCCATTAAAAACGGGTCCGCGACCCACCAGTTGAGAATCACTGCACTAAAGAGTCTATCCACAAACCACCATACTGAAACTAACACTCATGTTATGCATGTTTCTGCTTTCAACTTGTGAAATGTGTTTTCTAACTTAACTGACCTGCTTGACTAGTTAAATTGCATCATATCTGGCAGCAAAATGTGTAGAATCTACAGACTTCATTTTTATCAAACTACTACAGCGAAATTACATCTAAAATACAGCTGTATGAGTCTAACTGGTTCACATTTTGTGCATCTCATAACACATTACAGGGATATTTCTGGGGATTTATGCTCAGAAAGATTTACAAGTAGTTACCCAATAAAATGTGTATTTATTTCAACTGAGCAAAGAGTGACCCCTATTGTGTCTAACAAGATCGTGCATTCCCTCTGCCTGATTGACTCATGTGCAATATGTTGTCCTGGATTTAAAATAATAACACATTCTGTTTCATAGGATTATGATCTGTTGACATACACATTTATTCCTGAATTACTAAAAGAGTGACATGCAAGCGTGGATATAAGCAGGTACTTTAACTACTAAAGACTGAAGTTTGTGAGCTATTCAGCAGGTGTTATAAAGGGCAGATGCATTAAATCCCTAATTGATAACTGACGCAGGAGCCTTTGGACAACCCCAACGTTGTATAATGACATTGTGTTTGTATACAGTATTATTGTGTTATTTGCTTTACCCCCCTCTGTGTACCTGTGGTCTTTGATTGTAGCTACGGCTTTTTTCCTATTACACTCATTTTTGTTTGAGTATGTAGGCTAATCAATACAATTAAAAGCAAACGTGCTTGTGATTTACGTTGACTTTTCACTTCAATTCAACACAGTAGCGTTTACGTTCCATTGAACTGAACTAATTTAGTAATTTGGCGAATGCGTCTTTGTTGTTAACCAGTAGATGGAGGCAAAGCACCACAGAACCAATGTCCTCGCTCAGTGTGTTATGCAGCATCTCGTGTTCCCCATGTGTCATATCACTGACTTTGTGGTTTATATCACCTTGCAAGTTGTTCATGTTTCTACACTGCAGCCTTTTCTGTGATTCCCTAACAAAGCTGTGCTGTGTGTACCCCTGCATGAACGCCAGTGGGCAGAAGCATCTAACTTCCTTGTTAGACATTTTCATGTGGGAAGTCAGAGAGGGTTGTTTGGGCAAACTTAAATCCTTGTGTACCTCACACACACACACACACACACACACACACACACGCACACAAACCTCCCACTCCGTCCCATCCCTCAGTCGCTCACTTACATGCATCCTATAGTGGAACAGTTGGCCTCAGACAGTATCAATTTTCTCCATTGATGCACCATGTCTGCTTCAAAATATGAAAACCACACCATTGCACAGTTAACTGGGCTGTCAGTAGTATTGGGGAAGAAGCCGTTGGCTTTTTGCTGTACAGGCATCATTAACTGGACCTTCGGCCGGGCTCAAAGTTCTTCTGAAGGAAGATTGTGTCAGCTTTAACTTTGACTGTCTGAAACTGAGTGATGTCATTTTTAGGTATTGCGTTGCATCTGCAGAGTATCCATTTTGTAACAGCTGCATGCGATGTGTGGCCGCCTGCAGCCTCGGCCCAAAGCTGTCCACCTCTTTACCGCACTTGGCCGGGCTTTCAGAGACGGACATGGTCCAACTGGAGGGGGAAAGAAGGCGGTGGGGGGGGGTTGGTGTTGGGCCCCTAGGGTCCGCACGTGTGCGCCAACAGCTCATAAGCACATGTGCTGTGTGGAAAAATGGACTTGTATTGTTTGATCCATGAATGTGACACTCTGGTGTGGATAGTTTGGGGCTCAGGAGCCTTTGGTAAAACTCCTTGCAGCATAGGCAGGATTGCTCACATTTTGTAGGTATTCATTTGTTTAAGTACCCTTAGTTTCTGTCCGTCAGTGCACACATTACGACTAGTGACCATTTGCAAAATATGCTTTCCCTTTGTAAAACTTCATGGCGCTTAGCAGTTTGGTGAGTGTTGCCGGTGTCGGGATGAATGAGGCTGGTGTAGCAGCTGTAGCTGTGAGCTGTGGTCGGCCCTTTGTGTGTGAAACGTTCAGCCAAACCCCTGAAAAACACGGGACCCGGGGAGGTGCGGTTGGAGGATGGGGGGGGGGTAATTATTTTTAACAGCTTAACACTCCAATCAAATGAGCTTTCTGGAGATTTTTTTACACACTGCCGAGGCTCACGTGACCTCGGTTTATCAAACCTCTTTGACGCCTTTGTTCGCCCACTACACCGTATTACTGTAGAGTACAGTAATACAGTACAATTCAGTCACACACACACACACACTGTCGGTTGATGACAGATTAGAGCAACAGAAAATCCTCCCCAATACTGTCAATACGATTTCTTTCATGTGGCTTCAGCTTTTGGGGGGGTTTATATGGTGTGCGAAAAAGTGACAGGCAGTATTTATTCAATGGAACGGTTTGCAGACCTAAAATAAATATGTTGGCTGTCATGAAGGGATTATTGTCAAGATAGATGAGAATAGATTATGTTTTGTGTACCCATTTGTCTTCCTCCTGCAGAAGACTTACTGTGTGTTGCTTTGGGGGCTACAGACACAGGCCCTCTATAACAGCTCCATAACTAATAAGAAGGGTAAGATAAGAACTATTTCCCTATTTGGTTTAATAACAATTCTCTATTTATTTGTTCAAGTCCAGAGAAGGGTTTCATTACATTTCAGAATATTGTGTTTTTATTTGAATTGAAAATAATATGGATATTTTAACTTTAACACATGGTGTATTCCCCTTAATTAACAAGGATGTGGAACCAGCCAATGTCAACAAAACACAATTAGTAAGTTGAGGCAGATACTTTTAATGTTACCCTTTACTGTCAGAATGTTTAGAGAATAAATAGAAAAACAGAAATGGTGACTTTTGTTTGTTGTACATAATCAACTCAGCTCTGCAACTTTACAGCTTGCATACAAATATAAAAAATGGTGAAGACATATTCCAGACTGAGAGGCAGCAAGAGCAAAGAGTGATGAGTCTGATCTGACACGGGCAGGTCAGACCATTTTAGATTTGACGGGGTCAACTCACATCAATCACTTCAATCAATCATCCGGAGACACTTTTTCTGTTTGGCTAAATTCTAGTTTCTGGTTCCTTGCAGACTAGTCCTCCTCTTTCAAGG